AAAATAAAAAATTTATATCTTTATGTTTGAAGCCTGAAATGTGGCAAAAGGTTGAAAAGTTCAAGGGGGCCGAATACTTTCGCAAGGCACTGTATACATCTTTCCACTCCCCATTCTCACTTCCCCCCACTTTGTCTCCTGCCCTCTGTTTCTCCCTCCTGTGGCCCCTCTCTCACCTTACAGGTGGGCCCCAGGCTCTTCTGGAGCTCCACCCTGTCTTCTTCCTCCTCCATCGCTCCATTGTAGTCAAAGTATGCCACTCCGCCCACCAGCAAGGCCTCATGGGATATTGGCAGGAGGCCACACTTCATGGCAGAAACCTGTAGTGGACAAAACAACACAGCTTGTCCCATGCTGAAATTCAAAAGAAATCTTAAGTTGTCTGTGCCTAACTAAATGAGTAGCCATGTTTATATGTCAGTTCCTGTATGAAGTCTATGTATGCGTCTTGGTCTGTGTATTTCTATGTGTCCATGTGTATCTGTATCTCTCTATGTGTGTGTTGCGGTGTGTGGGGCTCAGTCTATGTCTATCCTTGTGTTTGTCTCTCTTTGTGTTATAATGTCTAGGTACTGTATATGTGTCTGTGTTTCTATATGTGTATGTGTGCTAGTGGGCCCATGCCTCTGTATTTTTGTGCGTGCATGTTGTGTATGTGTGCTGACCTGTGTCTCTATGTTCCTGTATGTGTATGTTCTGTATCTATGCTAGCCCGTGTCTCTGTGTTCCTTTGTGTGTGTGTATGTGTGTGTGCTGGCCCGTGTCTCAGTGTTCCTATGTATGTGTGTATGTATACTGGCCCATGTCTCTGTGTTCCTGTATGTATATGTATGTGTATGTATATGTTGTGTATGTGTCTCTGTGTTCCTGTATGTGTGTGTGCGTGCCTGGCCTGTGTCTCTGTGTTCCTATGTGTGTATACTGGCCCATGTCTCTGTGTTCCTGTATGTGTATGTTGTGTACAGTATGTATGCTGGCTGGTGTCTCTGTTTTCCTGTATGTATGTGTGTTCTGGCCCTTGTCTCTGTGTGTGTCTCCGGAATCTCGTGGCTCTGTACCGCTGCAGTGGCTGGGGTGTGCAGGTGGAGGACACAGCGCACGTCGGGCCGGGCGGAGTAGACGGCAGAGTGAAGGTGGAAGCTGGCAGTGTCGACCTGGAGAGCCGTGCTGCCCCTCTCAACCAGCTCCCCCAGGACATTAACCTTCACCTGCAGAAGGAAGCCTGAGGATCAGAACACCCCAAGAGCTGGCAGATGCAGCGGATTCAGAGAACAACACAGGGCAAAAAACAGTCATCTGAGGGAAGGGAAGGGCTTGATTCTATCTAGAGCATCAGGGAATCAGGGATCCAGAGATCAGCACAGACAAGGGATCAAATCCCAACACACCTACTAATATACTGCCTCCTGGCATGCACTGCCATTGTGTGCCAGCCTGTGCTGCGATGCTAGGGCACTTGTTCACTGTTCATTGGGACATGTACCCCATGGTTCCATTAGTACATGCCACAAATTTCATATCTCCCCAGTGCATGGATTTCATGGCATTTTCCGGTTTCTCTCTGATATTTCTTAAAAGAACTTGTTTGATTATTACCACATGTCATGTCTTCAATAGAGCCAAAGGGCTGGGAGAAGCACAGCGCAAGAGGAGCATGATGCTTCCCCAGTGCTGTGTGGGGACCCAGGACATCCAGTCCCATAGGAGAGTCAGCCAGAGGGAGACTGCACTGCTGGAGGAACAGGTCTTACCAGGCTGGAGGCTGTCACTTCACTGAAGGAAAGACCCCTGGGGATGATCAGGAAGTGCTCTTGCTCCTTGCTCACTCTCAGCTGCAAACAAAGGTACACATGGTTTCAGAGAGTTATAGTCTAACACAGAACAAAGTGCTAGTGATTTACTTCTGTGGCAGGTAAGCATGTACAAATGGTCAAGTACAAACACTCTGCATTGCTCTGTTAACTGCTCATGCTTAATGCAATGGCATTCAAGTATTCTAGAAGCATGGAGGTTAGCTCCGCCACTTCACAGCTTTTGGGTCCTGGTTTCGATTGTGGACATCAGAATCGTCTGCCTGGAATCTGCACATTCTCCCTGGGTTTTCTCAGAGTACTCCAGTTTCCTAATATCTCCCAAAGTTAAGCTGGCTAGGATAACTGGTGTCTTTTTAAACAGTCTGTCTGTGCTTGTGCCTGAGCCCGGCGATGAACTGGGATACCCAGTCCACATAGTGGCACAGTGCTTCCAAGACGAGTTGTGGATCACCACAACCCCTTGCAAGGAATTAGAGGCTAATGAATGGATGGACACTGGCTTCTCCAAGGGTTGATGTATTAGAAATTGACATTTTTTATGAAAGAGCACTTTGGGGACATTGTTTTCTCCATGAAAGGTGTCACATAAAATTAAAATAAATTGTCTTTTAAGGGCAGTCCACAGGACCTACTGAATAACTACTGTATGTGTATGACTTGTGATGTTGCCATTCCAGGTTCAACCAAGAACATGGAGGTGAAGAAGGGCAGATGGATTCACAATGAGAGAAGTGCTACCAGCCGGCTCGGCTGCAGCCTGGGAGACAGGAGGTCCGCCACACAGTCGGACAGACTCACAGTGAGGTAGGTGCTGGAGAGCTGGGCCCAGCCATGCAGGTCCAGCAGCCGGTAGACGCTAGCCAGCTTACAGCGCATCAGCCTCTCGCCCTTCACCAGAGTGCCAGGCTCCGTGGCCTGCAGGTCATTGATCGGGGTCACCATCATCAGGCCTGTGGGGGACACGGAGGCAGAGGGGCGCCAGGCATCAGTCTGAGTCACTGTCATAAAAATCCAGCTGCGAGTTTAAAAACCAGGCTTGCATGATTCAGCACACCGACAAGGCAAACAACGGAGTTGCAGCAACACTATAAAAACCATGAAGTGTGTGGGCTCCAGTGCATGTTGTTGAAACATTCTTTACAATGATCTTGCAACGAAAATATAATTTTAACCCAGTCTTTCCGCAATGTTTACTTGTCAGGGCGACGCATACAGAACATGAACATCCTACTGCCCGATTGTCTGACGTAGACTGATTGCCCCCATCCAGTGACATTTAAAGACCTTGCTAAAATATTTGGTCTAACATAACCAAACGACAACGTTTCAGCAACATTTGGAAATGTCGTTACAACATTTTGTGATGGCTGAGAAGCTACCAAGCAGCGATATGTCCAAGTCTATTTTCTGCTTTCTGTTTGGCATGGTGTGGCAATCATTTAAGTTCTTCACTTATTTAAAACTGACTGAGCTCCTGTGATTAACTAAAAAAAGAGAAATGATCCACATTTCCTGCATGGAGCCATTTTATTACCTCCGAAGCACAGCCCAACTGGCTCTTCTTCGGTTATCTGCGCCTTGCAATGCATAGGGGTGTGGAGAGAGGGTACCTACTGGAAGGGGAGATGGGCAGGGAGGCTGGGGCCCCATGTGAAGCCATGAACTCGACAATCTGCCGTAGCGCCCAGAGATTGGAGGAGTTGTTCCCTTTCTTGATCTGCTCCTGGATCAGGCTCTCCAGCTCCTCTCTGAAAGACTGAGAGGACAGACACAGCGCCGCGTCAGAGCCGTCATCATCCCGTCGCTGACTGCCAGAAAGGAGTGGGCCTGTGTGCTCTTACTAAAGCATCGATCCAGAGCGCAGACAGGCTGTTACCGTGACAGAGACTGCTGAGCTGTTCAGAACAACTGCATCTGTAAAAGTAAAGTAAAGCAATGCCCAGGAGCAGAACGAGCTCATCGGTGTCAGCTCCAATGAATAATAATAATAATTTCTTACACTTAAATAGTGCTTTTCTGGACACTTAATTTAAAGCGCTTTACAGGTATTGAGGACTTCCCTCCACCACCACCAATGTGCAGCCCCCACCTGGATGAAGCGCATCACCTCTGAATGAGAGCATCACCTCTGTCACCGTCACAGAGCTGAGTATACCTGCTCCTGGTATCACCTTGTAGCTGCTCAGATTATTTTCTCCTTTGTTCATGGAACTGGCTTAAGTCATCTTCCTGTCCTGCCTCAGACTGGGGCACTGTGTTACAGAGGAGTGCTAATGCTAAGCGAGTGGTCCTCTCTCTGGGACCAAGACAGCTGTCTCCACAGCCGGTTATTGGGGTCAGTGAACAACCGAACATCTGAGGCCTCATGCCCCTGAGACCAGCCAGCAATTAAAATGTCACAGGGCTGTGTTAACCCCCCCCTGGGAGCAGCTGGCAGCCAAGACTGTACACGGTTAACCCCTTCACTGCCCCAGTGCCAGTGCCTTTACAAGAAAACACCTCCTCCTGTGCTTTTACAAGAAAGTACCTCCTCCTGCGCTGTCAGTGTTGCTTATTTAAAGCAGGGCAAAGGAAGAGACGATACAAGCTGGCTATTCAGGGCAAAATGATTTCTGTCTTAACATAAAATCTTGTTACTGTACATTGCAAGATTCTGCACTTCGTACCCTCTTTGTTTCTTGCTGGTTCGTGTTTGAAATCAATACTCCAGTTACCTTCACAAAATGGCAGTCTTTGAGTTGGAGTGAAAATGTTTTGACTATCACCGTGGTAGTGTGCACTGAATATACTGATTTGCAGGTGTCCCTGTACCATGTTCACTACTCCCGATTATAAAGTTAAAATGTGTTAACTTATTCACTAAGTTAAAATACATCTTCACTGTTCTATAAAGTTTTTAATGTTTTACTAAGGAAAATTAAGTGTTATCTTACGCACTGTTCTACTTTTTTTTGATGCAGTGACTCCATTCAAATATAGTGGTGTACCAAATAATTTGTAAATGCAAAGATACAGTACACCCACACAGAAAAGCTAGTGTTTCGTCCTCACCATACACTTCACACATTGTTGCGTGTGCAGCTGAACGCTTGGCGTGTGCCTGCCTTGTGCTGCGTTGTGTTGTGTTGTGCTCTCATGTGTTGTACTGCTGATCATTAAGTGCATTGTGGTGCCCTTTCTCTGTCCCTCTCTCCATCTCTCAGTGGCTCAGAGTGCAGCTGTCCTGCGGTGATTTGTACTGATTGTTAATCTCAGCTGCAGGCCAGCTGAGGTTTGGAGATAATCAGGTCTTTGGAGATCTTAATGAGGGGTGAAGAGAGAGGGAGGGGGAGAAGGGGGGCTGGCGCACACATCAACCCACTACCCTCCTGGGGTAGATAGCTCCCGCAGACACAAGGGGGGTCCAGGCCGCAGCCCCCCCCCTCCGGCAGTCTGGGCCGCCAGTCATCCGACCTGAAATCTCACAGGACCAGCCCGCAGGTTTCTAGAGCCGGTGCGGGTTCCTGCAGGACTGCCCAGACTGGGACTGGCACACTCACGGGGCTCTGCAGGATGACGGAGACGCGCTTCTTCTGCTCCGTCATGCTGAAGTCCTGCTGCAGGCGGGGGGCCGCGCTCCTCGTGCGCAGGAAGTCGGGGTCGCTGTCGCTGCTCCGGCGGATGTAGCTCTCCTTGTGGGGCGACGGGGAGGGGCAGGGCGAGGGGGAGCAGGGCCCCTCGGGGAGGGCGTCGGTGCTCATCGTCACAGGGGGGTCAGAAGAGGGGGACAGGGGGTTCCGAGAGCTGGGGAGAGAGGGGGGGGGAGGAGACACGAGGCTCAGGGTTAAGTGCAGCAGGCAAATCAAAGCTCACGTGTGTCCCTGCAACCTGGTCTGTTCCTGGTAAGTTACTGCCCCCCTGGTCCTTCCTAAAGGTCCCCATTGACCCCAGCCTGAACCACTCGCCCCTGGGCTACCCCCGCCAATGTTAACCACTCCTTGAACAACCCAAACTACTCATCATTCCTCCTGCAGGTGAACCCAAAGAGCCCCAGTATCTTCCAGTTCTGACCTGTCCTCAGAAGGAAACACTAGACCAGTGTCTGAGGCACTCATCATCATGCTCATCATCACAAGGCGCTACATGTGGTACAGAACATTAAAACGAACTGAATTCCGCTCCCACGGTATCACTTTGATAACTTAGAGGGAACCTTTTGGCAGCGTTATGGTGGCTACTATGTTTTAAAAACAGCAAAGCACATGAAAGGTTAGAAACGAGTGGAGGCCATTGAGCCCATCAAACTACCATCACTTGGTACTTAACGTAACAAATTGATGGAGGGATCTCCAGCCGTTTCTTCAAGGAAGCTTCAACAACAAACTCGAGTAGGTTATTCCATGCTCCCACCACCCTTTGGGTAAACAAGTGCCTTCCGTTCCGAGCTTCAGATGCACTTCCCCGTAGTTTCCCACTTGTGTTCTCAGGTTTGTGCTTCACTGTTCTTCCTGATGTGAGCCACTAGGTTGACGTTGTCAAAGCCAGTGAGGATTCTGAATTCTTGTACCAGGTACCTTCATAGCTGCCTCTGTTCAGAGCTAAAAAAGGTTCAGTTCTTTCAGCCTGGCAGTCTTCTGCTGCCATCTGTGTTGTTTGCTACAGATTTTATTGCGCAAGTGTTAATACCCGAATCCAAGCAGCACAGATTGAGGAGGTTCCACAGTGGAGCAGTGAGGTTCTGGGATGAGGGCCTGCTTTTCTCCAGCTCCTTTCATGGCGATCGATGGGGCCGACAGACACTCAACAAACACACGTACGTAGAATGTTTATTTTTATTCTTGCTGATGGCTCCAACAAGCAACTATTTTGTAGAATTTTGCCCCTTTCTTGCCCTGTTCTTTCGCTGTGTGTCTGATATCCAGCTGTGTCCTGTGGCTCCTCTGTCTGGGCCTCTCACACACACACACTCTTACTGCAGATTGGGCTTTTCGGATTCTTTGTTTTATTAGAATCACTCAGCTTCTGACCGGACTGGTAGTGGGTTTCAGTTTCCCTGTGAAGAGCACGCCTGGCACTATATTTGCTGCCACAGCCCCTGTGCAGACTAACAGCTCGTTCATGAAACACGGTCCTGCAGAACGCAGATAAAAGAAACAGACACCACACCCACTCCTCCCCCCCACCATCTCGCTGTGCCTCCTGTCAGTGCCTTGCCTGCTCCCCTCCTCACTCCTGTCTCAGACTGTCTGACTGTATCTCCAAAGTAGGCACCTGCCCACCTACAGCAGGATGAAAGTCTCTATTTTCGTTCAACAGCATTGTTTAAATATGAATCTGCTGCAGCAGAGGATAGAAGGCAGGGTGCACTGTGCAAGGAGAAACATCTTACTTAACACAGCGTTGCAGCAGGATTCTCATTTCCATAGACTGCTCTCCGATGGGCTGACACACGGTTACATTATCATTTGAGAGGACACTGACGTTGCTCCTATGGGGACAGCTCTAAATAGGCAAGGATGACTCCAGCCGAAAGTAAATTCGTTATTCTGGGGGTAACCTTAAAGTGTTATCAGAAGTAGCTCCTGACTTCATGCTCATATACAGTAAGAGGTAAAATAAAAGCTTTAAGATGCTTGCAAACAACACTGCTTTCCTTGCACTTACATGTACATATAAACAGTCTGCCTGTATATACATTTTAACGGCATGCCTCTGCACAAAAAACGAACAGTTATATTCTTATACATTTACTGTAAATGCAATAAAATTGTTAAATAACAGCCTGTGAGTTATGTTTGTAAGGCATTTTTTAATAGGAAAGCTGTCCGATTGTATCACCCTAAATATAACCCAGTTTAACATAATTCACAACTGCATGACTCAAGTCCCAAATTCCTTCTTAAAATGCCAGGACAGGCTCTGAGCTGCAACACCCCTCACCAGGAGCACACGGCTTTCTGATACCGTATGGATGGACTGAGCGAACGGCCATCAGTAAAACATCCTCTCCAGACTAATTAACTCACTGACTGAGTTTGCTTGCTTTCCTTTTGTGGTCTCAGCAGGAGGCTTTAATTCACCTCATGGGCAGGGCGGTAAGAGCCCTGAGCAGACAGTGAATGCGCCTGGTTAGACCCCTTAATGCAGATCAGCTTCTCTTCGAGGGTCTGCCTGAAATCTATTTCCGGTGAGGGCCAGGCAATCCAAAAGACTCTGAGTTTTACAAGCTTCAGGGAACTGGCCCTTTTCAAGCCTGAAAGAGCCGTGCAGAGTAACTGAACCTCAAAACATGACATGTCCTGAACTTGACAGAAAATTGTGCAAACTAATACACATCTGGCGTGAACTTTTATAACTAAGTAAGGAAACCAGATGTTAATGCGGATTCAGTATTTATTGTCACCAGTGCCAAGCGCCTGTGTGTTTTATGTGACCAGCCCGTGGCACAGGCTTAGCCCTGGGGATTTCAGACAGTTTTGCAAAAACTCCAATGTTAAGAATAATCCTGTGTCAACAGAGGAGGAGATTAAACGACACAGCACCGTTAAGAGCAGCGAAACCCAAGCCTGCACTGAAAATACCACAGCTTTTTGGAAGGATTAATTATCACTCCACTTTTCGAACACTGAACTCATTCTGTCTTGGCTTGGGCCAGATGAAGACTCCTCCCTCCAGCTCTTGACAATGCAAGCACACAGCTGTGTTGATCGAGTGCGTTCATACCTGCCTCTCCAGCGGCCTGTCTTTCCTAGTTCTGCAGGGGTCCCTTTATTAATCCCCAGCCGCATGGCTCTGTTCACTGCAGGGCACCCGCGCTCACAGAGACACTCTCACCCGCGCTCGCCTGCGCCCAGGCACTCCCACACACCCCGGCAGACACGCCGTGCTGATAACCTATCTGATCCTCCTGCCGACACCACCAGGAGGCCGCCGGCTTGGCGCTCCAGCCTTCTGTCGCCACGCTTTCAGGCTGTGGTTTTGAAAAACGGTTTTATTGGCACGTGCTCTGCAGTTTAGAGAAAGGGCGCACAGATCCGGCGAGGGTAAAATGGAGGCGCCGTGAACCTCTTCGGCATTGAAATGCATGCGTATCACTTCTTATCAAACAGAGGCCATTTAAACCTCTTTTTAAAAAATGCTGATCACATACAATATATTCTTTGATGTGCTCCCAGGCAATCGAAGTAGAATACAATGAAAACTGAGTGGGACACAGTATTATGAACAATCTATCATTTGCTGTATTTTTCAGGGGCTTTATTACAACATTTAAACATCCATTTCTCGAAATCCATCTTACAGGAAAAACATTCCAAACTAAAAGCATATCACGGTGTTCCCTGGGAGCTGGTTTTGATTCAGGGAGACCAGGAAATAATCTGCCCAGTCAGCTTCCTTCTTGATGGACTAAAAACTATGGGATTTCCAATGATTTAGGATCTCTTCCCTATCGTGAAGATGAGCAACCCCAAATTTCTCCCACTGATCTGTTCACCACACATGCCCATGTGTATTTCAATACATTCCACACCTATCAACCAATAATGTATCTAATGTTGGAATTTTATAAGATTTCTCATTTCCAAAAAATGAAAGATGAAGTGAGGAGGACTTATACAGTATATACAGTGCCCTGCAAAAGTATTAACCCTTGTTAAGTATTAAATCTTGTTATTTATTTGATCTATAGGCAATTCTCTTACCTTTGTTATTCAGTGGTATTGGGACTTAATTGCATTGACCAGATCTGTGAATGAGGCCGTTATTATTAAAATTTAAACCTTGTTTTTTTTTCCCCAATCCAGACATTAATTTAACTAATCTGCCTTTGTTGTCCACAGGAGACCTGCACTGGATCGCTTGTGTCTGTGTGTGCGTGTCATTATCTGCTACAGCACAGGGCCGGCGACACAGCTGTTAACCTCAGAACAGCCCTCCATGGGGACACCCACAGAGACTGGGGTGGCTCAGGGGGGAGGGAGGGGGAACCGCCATCTTCCTGTGCTCCATGTCTTATTTACTATTCACTTCATTAATCCGGCGATGCGCAAGACAGAGCACGCTCCCTCTGTCTGACTGTAAATTCTGGGTGGCAGAATATCCAGGCTAAGGAGGAGGTACTGCCGCTCAGATGAGTAAGCAGGCAGGCAGGGCATCCATTGCCAGTTCTGCAATTGCTGTAGATGGATGTATAGATGATTAGAGAGATACGAATTATGGGTATGACTATTAAATAGTTCTTGCCATTTCACAATGCTGATGTTCCCACCAACAACTCATAGCAATGCATGATCTTAAAACACACCTTCAATTTGAATGGTGTTTCTTGTGCAATGTGCAAGTATCTCCTGTAACTTACACTTTATTTACTGTGCCTACTATACCCTGTTGCGAAATACATCCCTGGGTGCTAATATCACATGCACATAAATATTTCATTACTAAACAGGTCAACATACATGAGTGAATTACTAACAGTGGTGGACAACCAATATCCTTTTCTTAACAAAACACACGCTCCAGATAGTAAACTCCCCTACAGACGCTCTGTATAAACAAAGGTTCAGGCTCATTGTTCAAGAGCCTCCTCCCTCCCGATGGATAATCTCTGTCCTTGCCCTTGATTTACCACACTGAGGTAGACACACCACCACAGCTGGCTCAGCATCAAGCCCACAGAGAGAGGGAGGGACGCCAGGTCCATAATTGCATGATTAATGTCTCTATTGATGAGTAATTTGTAACTGGTGCCACCGGAGTGCAGGCAGCCCGGCTACATATCTATCAATGAACGGTGCAGTGAGGGAGGCGGAGCACTGCTGTGTAGGGCGTATACGGTGTTAGTCACACACTGTTGGAGAAGGAGCAAATCATCCTGTTCACCATGAAGCTGAGGGACGTCCTCCACCCCCACTGGAGTTGACTGTGCACTTGCACCTCTTTATGGATTCAGCCAAGATCATACCCGTTTACCTAAATACGCACCGAAAAGCAAGAGAAAATAATGTGCTTTCTCCTGCTCTACAGCAGAGAGTGCTAGAACACTGTAGGTCTCCTGACCAATCGCCTGTCTCTGCCACTCTGCCTCCCAAGATCATCAGCTCCTAAGCAGGTAACAGACTTTCCTCCTTCTTGCTGGGCTGTATTCAAAACCCCCCCTGCCTTCATCGTACACGCCCTGTAGCTCATTTTGACACGTTTTGCTTTTTCCCCCCAGAAGGAGCACAACCTCACAGGCACTGTGCTCAAAGTGATCACTGCAGAGGACCGAACATGCTTTCATTTCCAAAGCCTGGTCCTCCTATCTGAACAGATGTTTTCGTATGCAACCCCGTTCCTTCCGCGATAAATCCATCAGTGAGTTCTGCAAGCGAGAACAGTTTCTTTCTCTGTAGTACCTGGGAGTTTTCTGGCCCCACTAATCTGCCGGGGAGGGGTGGTGCTCTCGGGCTCTTCCCCTGTTGGACACTCCCTTTTTTCCCCCCGCAGGAGAGACTTTACATAAATATGCAGGTGCTTCGTTCGAAAGTGTTTTTTCTTCTGCTTTGGGCGCTCCTGCTTGAAGAGCGGAGGAAATTTCTGCTGGGCCAAGGCAGGGTATAGGAACCCATAAAATATAAAGAGCAGAAAAATCAACAAATCAATACATCACCAGCAAGAAGGTATAACTAAATCTGACAGATATAAAAGAGCAGCCATTTCCCATGTAGAGTAGAAGGATGGCATTGATCTCAGATGACTGCTCACATTCCCTCTCTCAAACGGCAATGTGGACATCAGTCTTCCTGGTGCCAGCAGGCTCAGTGAAACACTCTCTATGGCTTTCAGGCCATATTGAAATCATGCAGCCCTTTCTGCTACAGTGTGCTGTAAATGCATGAACCGAATGCCTTCACAGGGAGAACGTGAACAACTCAGCCACAAAAAGGGATTTTTATTTAGTTCATTAGTGGACTGTGTCCCTGGGGGGCTCCAGAGACTGAAAGTACTGTTTTATGGAATACTTAGTCTCCCTCTTTCCATAGCCCAGCATGAAAGCGATTCTTGATGTATCGGTTTATATACCTCATGCAACTACAAACAGATAGGGTATTTAATTGCGATTTTAGTTTCACACAAATAGGAAAAATTTAAATATTTTTGTTGTGTACACTTAAATAGAAAATAAAAAGCAAACAGGCAAGAAGAGCCTTGGCTGAAATGATTTCACCAGGACCACGCAATACCAGTGATTCAGTTCACCTGTTTTGGCCTTTCTAAAATAAATGTTTTAACAAAAATGCGTGGTTAGGGCTTAGGGTGGATTTATAATGACGATGGAACGTAACACGCAGAGGTGGTGGTTTATAAAAAAAAGAGAGAGACCTCCTAGCTGCGATACTTGCTTTCCATTGTCCTTTCCCACCCCCGCCTCGCCGCCTCCAGCCCCAGAGAGCATCGTTCTCCGCTTCCCGCTCCTGCCCTGCAGGCTCTGGGCTGCCTAGCAACCAGGCGCGGCTCAGCCCGCCGCAACATCAGCACCAGCCCCAGCGGAGCCCAGGCGCGCGGGGCCCGTCCCCCAGGATTCCCGCGTTGTTTACCTCCGGGCGCCACACGGCCATAGGCGACATGTCAGCCTAGTGCCTGTGTGATGTGAGCCAACATAGCACAGCACACACGTACACGGGATCGACTAAGAAAAACAGCCTCTGACAAAAACAGTTGAAAATAGGTCATCCCTACACGGGTTTTGTAACATACGCTTTGTAGCTTTACGACGCGATCGCTTTTTTTTGTGCCTTTTGTTAAAGTTATAGGGTACTATAGATGTATCCCCCATTGCAGTGTCGGGTTTCTCGCTAGGCGAGTGTTCCGGTGGACCAAACGCCACACGCGCTTTTATGACCCCGGCAGCTGGTCACCAAGTTCAAAACGTAACCTTCGATATAACGCTTCCAAAACCATTTAGCCATTTCAAAACTCTTTAGCTCTTTAAAAAAAAAAGCGGCGGCACAGCTGTGGAATCAAAACAACACCCCGGATGAAATGATGGCTCGGCTCGCCTGCCGTCATGTGCCGAGTAATTGAGTCGTTGCTCTTGGACAAGAGTGAAGCCATTGATAATGCAGCCGTGAGCTTGCCTTCGCCGTCGGCCCTCAAGAAGCGCTCCAGTCTGCACCACCTCCTGTACCGCCGAAACAACGGAGAGGGGCAGACAGTGCATTTCATTGCACGACAGATTCCAGGCACCATTGCCTAAGTGAATAACAGCTTCCTTAATATCATCGCTTAAGAACAGGTTGCAAAACCGCATTTCCGAAGGACTCCAACATGATTAAGAAAACATTCAAATACATGCTGGTTGTATATTCTTCCCATAGAACGCCTTTATATAATAAAAACCCTTCCGACACAAACGAATAAAATATTCAAATACTGTACCACCTCCTCAAGACAGAAACGTATACAGGTAACGATCCAAAGCTCATCACTGCTTACCTTGTTACAGCATCATCCGAGCCCTCTCCTTAATAGATATATTGGAAAGCAGGCTGCGGTTTGTATATAAACGTATCACAAAACGAACCCGTTTTTATTTTCTATAAAATGCAATAACCAAAGCAAACCGCTTCAGTGACAGCCTGCAGCGGTAACCTCTCGGTGTTTTCGCTTCATTATATCCTCGCAGTCTGGTGCTGCCGAACCACGCCTGCCTCTTCGATGCCAATGACCTCAGCTCTTTCGTACAGCTACCAGCCCCCCCCCCAATTTAACGCAGAGCAGTTCCTTTTGTAAGGAAAGGAAATAATTGCTCGACGGTATTACTGAACTACCGTTCTGAAAACTATCATTAACGGTCTAGGCGTTTTTCCGGATGCATCCGATATCCCTGCAATAAATTCACCACATAGCCTATATAGTACTGGCAGCAGACTACTAGTGTCCTACTCCACGAAATGCTTTCATCAATCCAGAATGTGGATGGAATGTCGCCCCCTGGCGTGGAATACGGGAATTGCATTTAGAATAGAGCTGGAGCTCTTGCATTTCAAGAACTGTTCGGCTAAATTCACCCCAGCCTGCATTGCCAGGGTACAAGCGAACACGGTGGACTAATATATTGGCAGAATTCACTTCCCCTGGGCAGCTCTCATCCTCAGAGAGGAAGAGCGCAGTGTCTGCAGGACAGCCTGTCAGACCACACGTCTTCATCACAGGGCACAGCAAGCAAGCACTACAGGAAGATCCCTTCACAAACAATTTTAATAAGTGCTTTAGACAGGGCTTAACGCAAACATGCAAAAAAACAGAACAAATGTGATACTGAACTGAACAAAAGTTAAAGTGTAAAACAAAAAGGGCAATGGTGCCCATTCACTGCTTCACCCTTTTGAAAGCCAAAGAACAAGCCTCCAGATGCACATGTCCTGAAAGAGCATTAAAAAAAAGTCAGTTACAGGCAGGAATGGTTACAAACAAGAGGAGGCCTTTCAACCCATCTTGGAAGAAACCAGGGTATCCGTGTCAACACCTTGGCTGGGTAGCTTGCTCCACACCCCCACCACCCTTTGTGTACAGAAGTGCAGCTGGTCTCCATTTCAAGTGCACTTCCACTAAAAGTGCATTTTATCACACCGATCTACAAGTGGCAATAGGAAATGGGGAAACAGCCAAAATGACCTATAAGAAATTACAGATGTGCATTTCTGGGTTCACACTCTTGTCACAGCAGGATATATTTTGTGCAGACTAATTGGTGTAAGTTGACATTACTAATGATCATGTGGCCTTTGTCCCCATTTCAGGAATAACTACTGTAATCCAGAAGCAACGCAAAGTAAGGCTCTGGTCACTACTGGGAAGTACAGACTTTCAGAACTTGTCCTGATCTAATATTAGTCCTTACACTTATATAGCGCTTTTCTGGACACTCCACTCAAAGCGCTTCAAAAGTAATGGGAACTCCCCTCCATGACCACCAACGTGTAGCCCCCATCTGGATGATGGGACAGCAGCCAAAGTGCACCACACATCAGCTATCCATGTGGAGGAGATCAGAGTAATGAAGCCAGTTCATAAATGGGGATTATTAGGAGGCCATGATTGGTAAATTCAGCCAGGACATACATTACGCCGGCAGAGCGGTGGCTCTGTGGTTAAGGATCTGCGCCTGTGGCTGGAAGGTTGCTGGTTCAAATCCCGCAGGGGTGCTGTACAATGGCTGACCCTGTGCTCTGACCCCAAGCTTCTCTCCCTGTCTGTGTGTCTGTGTCTCATGGAGAGCAGCCTGGGGTATGCAAAAAGACGAATTCCTAATGCACGAAATTGTATAGGGCTAATAAAGTGCTCTCTCTTACTGGGCCAGGACACCTCCCAGGAAAACCAGGTTGGCTGTGGGAACTGTTTCTCCTCCGAGACATTCTGGCTAAGAAATCACCCCAGCATGGTTACTAACAAGAGTCTGGCCTTTGGGCAAGATGTCGGTTAACTAAAGTTAAACTGTTAAAGATCCCATGGTACTGTAAGTGTAGGGATGCTGTCTTGGTTAAATTGGTAGTAAGGAGGCTAGACTGTGGATCCCTTGGGAGCTGCACAGTCTAGCCTCCTTACTTCACTTGGAGAAGCAATTGATCTGCTCTCAACAATGACTGCTGGTACATAAGAGATGCCACTCTGGGTGGTTGCTGTGCAGCAGTGGTGGATGATGTGGGTCCCATCTAGCAAACACTTCGGGATCTCTTGTGGCTGAACAGGACTATTAAATGCAATTAATCATCACCACCATTAGATGGCAGTGTAGCATCAAAACCTGTCCATTAGAGCCATGTTGCAAAAGAGAAGAGGCTATTCTGTCCATCTAGCTCATTTTTATAACTCAAGAAAACAGCCATACTAAATCTCACTATACTTAAAAATAAAGCAGCTACCATTGAAAGCTATCAAAGGCATTGCTTACCTTAGAATGTGTTCTTTCAGCACCGAGATGTCATATCAACCACTGTGCAAGGTCCTTAGTTGGTCTGAAACATCTTCATATTTAAGAAAGAATTATAGGCACAACATTCGCTGACATTTTATACGTGCTACAATCAAAGCTTAGTACAGAAGAGCAGAAGATGATGTTTTGGAGCAACAGAAAAATGCAACAGGGTGACCTGCTTAAAGGTACAGTATAAGAGCAAAACTGGTCTTATTTTAGTGCTGTCCAAGAAATTGATTTTTAGATTTACTGCCCATCCAAATGACAATGGCTAGTTGTTCCTCAGTTTGGAGAGATAACCCGTCTTCTCTACTTAGACGAGAGAAACAAAGACTCCTTCAGCTCAGGCGCTCATCACCCTGTGCCACACTACAGGCTTCACGGACACGCATGTAAGAAGGGCCAGATGGAGGGGTGGCGTTCCTCACGGACCTCACCGCGGCACTGCAGACATGGGAATCGCAGGAGTGGATTGGCTGAGAGTCCCCTGGCCGCCCAATTCCAACCCCACCAGGGGTGGGATAACACTGGACAACAGAACTCTGCCTAAGGCTCTTCAAAATGAACTGGGCGCTTAAATGTTAATTGTGAAAATAAGGAAATCAACAGATCTCCGGGTACTCATGTTTCCAAGATCCCTATAAAAACCACTGAACAGGGGCCATTTTGAGGGTCTTTCACATCTTTGGTTGCTCACTCCAGACATAAAATCCAAAGGGTAAATGGATTTGCCCCATTTACTTTTCTACAATATTGCTTGCTTTTTCAGCAAGATGACGGAATGAAGCATTTGACCACACCCTCAATATCAGAGTGGAGGAGAGAGAGAAGGCTGGTTTCCACGCACAGAGAAGACGGAGAGAGACGAGTTTCCGTACCAGGGAGTGTTCAGGAGGCAGCTGGATGATGTAAGCTGGCATCACGCAGTGGTGGAACAGGAGGGAGTGCCCCCCGAGCTCACTCCTGCTGCCCTGCTCCGGTCCCAGCAGCACCCCGCCGCCCCCAGGAGCTCCCGCGGTGATCATGGGAACCGTCATGCTCACCCCTTCCGTCCTCACGACGCCATCCAGCCCCTGGGCAGAGAGAGCATCAGCCCTGGAACAGCTGCCTCATACAGCAAGGCCTGGCCAGGCCAAACACTCCCGAGTCAGCGTGGCCTTAACTACCGCCTCCTGGCTTCTGGCCCAAAGCGTTTATTGAACCGGGCAGATTGTGGATTAAATGTATCCACTTAATACCTTCCTGCAGACCTCAAAATATTTTATAGGATTAGATGAAGTCATTCAAGTGGTCTTTTATCCCCATGAGACTCAAATACACTTCCTCCTTCTGTCGCTCGAACACCAAACTGCCCTGTAACTGGGAATAGTGAACCAGTTGTTGACGCAAAAGGTCAGTCAGGAAGATTATGACACGAATTCCCCCCCCCCCCAATGCTGTAGGACAAGAACTGTCCCCGCAGCGGGCACAGACCTGCACACCGCCAGTGTCGGCCAGCACCGCCAGCAGCAGGCGGATGTACTCGGATGCCGCCCGCAGCGTGTCCACCTTGCTGGGCTTCCGGTCTCGCGGCACCAGCGGTACGATCGTCTTCAGGGTGGAGAACATACTGTTCAGGTTCCGGATCTGAGCGAATACAGGAGGGGGGGGGAGAGAGAGATAACACCGGCGTCCACGCTATTTAGAATTCCCTTCCTCACATACAAGACGAAACTGGATATTTTGATACAAGCGGACGCACAGATGCTACTCCCAACATGCCATTTCCCAATGGTTGGAGAAACCTAAGGAATATTCCTCAAAAAACACTGTATTTGAACGGAATGGGTGTTTGTTTTAATTTTATTAACTTTACTTCTCTTTTGGTAGAAGACATTGATACTTATATGATAAGTGCGCATTATTGACATGTAGGTACTTTTTAGGTTCTCTCTTCAGTTTATAAGCCAGATATTGAATTCAATAAGGAAGCACCTGAGTAAATATTTTTTTTTAAATCTAAAGTTAACCCCAAAAGCCAAAAAAAGGGTAACCAAAAGTAAAGGAAAAACCGGCCCCGAAAAACCGTAACAAAAAAACGACCTTCAGTAACAAGTTTGTTTCTGAGGGAGCTACCGCCGCGAAAGAGAAGAAACTTCAACCGGATATACTTACAAATCAAACGTAACGTTTACTTTTTATTAATTCGCTGTTCAAATCTCATGGCTCACACACCCTTTGTCTCTCCTTGGCGTTGGCGACCTGTCGCTTCTTGACGATGTCGTTCCAGTTCTCAGTCGAGATGTACTCGGCGCCGTGGCCGCGCCTGAATTTGGTAATGGCAGCGGCCACTGGGAGCGAGTCCTCCCCGCTTGTGGCCTTCATGATATCGCACATGAGCTCCGGTTCGGGGGTGAGCTGAAACCCCAGCGCGGTCGGCGGTAGCCAGTCCAACGCCATTTCTTTCGTTAGTTTTTTTTTAAAGTTAGAAACCAAGTCCTTTTTTTTTTCAAATAAAACGTTTAAACTTGCGGGGAAAGCTTAATGAGTCCTAACAAAGTAAAAAATGTGAAACACTTCTCATGGGTAGTTTTTTAAAGAGATGCCTTTGAACGGCGACTCTTAACAGACTAGTCAATACACCTGTGTATTTTTTTTTCTTGTGATGTGATTCAGGTGAATCACCCCCCCCCTGAGGTGTTCTGTGTAAATAGAAAAATTGATTTCCCAGCGTTCTTATCGCTGAGCCGTGCGCTCCTTCCTAATTGATCATTACAGTTGAAAGGAAGGAACATCCTTTACTTCACGGTGTGAAACCCCTTCCTCTCATTGAGCTGACATCCCCCAGTTTAACTGAAACTGGCTTTTTTTTCTTGAAGATAGCGTGAGTTTCAGCTCTGGAAAAGAGAGTGCGCCGACATTCGCCCCTGTAGCCCTCGGTTCGAGCGCTAGTGTAAACGTTGCTCCGAAATGGTTTGACGTATAAGCACAAATGTAAAGAGAGGTCAACCAAAACGGTTCGAAACGATTCACAGCGGTTAGTTATCGGAAAGTGGTTTCTCTTGTCTGGCGCTCAAGGGGGCACGGAGGAAAAAAACTGCTCTTTTGTCGGACTGAACGCCGCTCTGAGGGAAAATGCGCAAAAATAAGAACTTGATTTAAAAAAAAGGGAGGCGGCGTTTTAAATCTACTATTTTGAACCATTTGGTACCATGTTTAGAATATACTCACAGACTGATGCATTAGGATTTATTTTGTTGAAACATAAATGCGATTTTTATCTTTCTTTCGGTCTGTGCCTCATGTCATTCAGCTAGTGCAGTTTCCCTGTTTCTGGTGCGGTTATACTTAACTTTCCTGTGCCAATCAATTAACTTCAGACGCGCAGCAGGATATCGAGCGGATTCATGTAGCAGCTGGAAAAACACAGCATTTTCTATATAGTGGTACGGCTAGACTTCTATAAACACAAAAGAGGCATTTTAAAATAAATAAATCCCATTACCTTTATACAAATGTTTGGCGCCGGGAAATAACTAAATTGGTTAAACAAAATTAATTCAAGCTTGCGAGGATATTTATATTCAGACGCTCGTAATTAAAAAGTAGACATACAAAAACGTAGGTTTCCTTATAAAGGTAAATGAAGGAGTCAAACACCAACAATAACTAGGTAGCATTATCAAACTCTTCTGGCCGATTACATTACATTTTATTGTCATTTTAAATGTTTTAATAATAGTTTTCCCATGTACTGTAGCGAGATATTGGCTTTGCCTGTGGGAGGTTAGTAAGTAATTAATGCACGCAAATACTAGAGAAGACGTGGTGCTCGGTAGTCAAACACGATAACGCTGATGAAGACCTCCTACCAAAAAAAAGTCATTTTTTGGCAAAGGTGAAAATTGAAAAACCTGCTCTCGATTTAGTGCGCAATTTTGTCAAATAATTCGCGCTTCTGGACGGCAGGGGTCGTGTTTCCCTCGCTTGTCTCCAAGACACATGTCCAGGCGATGCAGGGAGTTAATTCAATTCAAGATGCTTTATTGGCATGACCGGTGAGCACAATCAATGTTGCCAAAGCAAATAAAAATCAAATTAACATGAAACAAAACAAAAAAATAAACAAAAT